GTACATAGAGATATTACAATTGATGTGCAACGGCTACAACCCTCAGTTGGCCAATCATGGTTTTCACTCCAGAGCAGCCGGAGTCCCTGTGAGAGATTAGTGGCACATTTAGTGCAACGGTAAGGTTGGCTTCAAATTTCATGGCGATGGTCCTGTGCTTTTTCTTATAGCCTTTGTTTCTGATATGGTGATGATGCAAAGCTCAAATGACGAGATAATGATAGCCACTGGCGTTCCAAACTTTTAAATCCCAACATGGTGTGATAAGCAGCTGGTGTTCCAGTGGGAGGTTAACGACCGACAAGGTTGGCTGCATGATCTGAATAGACTCGTTTTACCTAGAGTAACTGTATATGCTCCACTTGCACAGCAGATATCGCAATAGTGCTGCTAGAGCGCCATGCTGGCGCTCTAGCAATAGGCTGCACTGCGGGAAGCGACTGTCACTTCTGCAGGAGGCACAGATGGCATGGCTGTGAGGTGGCGTGCTGCGGCAAGCAGAGCAGAGCAGATATAGTGTGGCGACACGCCACGCGTGCATCATCGTCCTGTCACTTGTCTCCTGTTTCTCTCTATGCCATCGGTAGAACGTAGTGGCTGAAAAAAACATTGTCCCTTTGCGAGCCATAGCTGCACATTGTTGTCTGGTCCGAGCTGCCTGGATGTGCCGGTCACGTATCACACCACGAGTGCCGCAGACGCGATCGTTCTCCGTGTCGTCTGCTCCCAGACTTTGGAAAGGCGTTTTAAATCATCACTCGCAATATAAAACAAAGCAAACATACTGAACCCAGCGGCTACACATAATGTTCAATGGTTAAGAAACCTTCCAGTTCGTTCAATTTTAGTGTAGGACGTATATTTCGCAAACGCAAAGCGAGAAACATGCTCTGCCCGAAACTCGACGCCTGCAAGACAGCTTTCCCACGAAAAGGTTGGATCCAGCTTGGTGCACGTGACCACTTCTCCACCAATTTGGAGTTAGCGGCGAAAGAAAAAGAAATATGGTACTCTGGCTCCGCAAGCAGAGCCTAGGGTGATTGGTGGCCGAGTGGGCTAGCGCACACCAACTCGGAGCACGTGGAGCGAAAGCTCGCACTGCAGAACCCAGGGATCCTGGGTTCAATCCCCACCCCTGCTTGTTTCGATCTGGATGAGCATCGTACCGGCGTGCAGTTGTGTATTACTACAGCGTAATACACGTTAAAGACCCAATGCTAGCGGCTGTACTGCACTGGCTAAATTTCTCATGTACAGCTGAGAGACAAGTTGCCCGTCAAGGCAGACTAAGTTTAGGCTGTACAAACATATTCACACCCTCAAGCAGAGCCTATACAGTTACTCTAGTTTCACCTAGAGTCCCTGGATGTTCCCGGAGTACCGAAACTTCCAGGCACAACGGCGGTTCAATATTTTTTTTTTTTTTTTTTACTGTGGTCATTGTGACGACCAGTGTGAACAGTGTTGTTGGAATTTCTGACCTACCTTCTACGCGAAAAAGTTTTGGGACCCTAATCTCCACGGCAGTAACAAGAAACCGGGACATCACTGCCTGCTATAATTTGTCGGCGCCGCACCGCCTAACAATCGGAGCAGGCGGCGTTGTCCTGGTCCCTTGGTTCCGTCTTGTGGATTAGGCCCCTGGAAGCATTTCTCATCAATGTCACTGTTTAGAGAGCATGTTTTTGCGTAAAACAAAAGAAAAAAGCTCTTTTTGTAGGTACTTTTATTGTAGATTAGTATGAATGACAGAAGTGTGATGTTTTCATAAAATGTTAGATTACAGAGTTTTGCGGCATAATTAAGATTGTTTTATACAACCATGTCTCACCAGGGATTTCAGGTAGCACGTCCCTATCTGGGAGCATCCTAACTTCGGTGATAATTCGCAGCGAGTCCGTTTGGGAGATGGGGGTTGGCACCCCTGAAACCCCTTTCCCTGTATCTGTTAAAGCGCCAAAATGGCCGATCAAAGCTAAAAGAGAACAGTCACACTGAACGCTATTAAATGCGATACACTGGCAAGATCCAGTGACTAGTTTCACCGAGCCACCACAAGAAGCCAAGAATTTTGGGAGTAACATTCTTTCGAATGCTGGACACTCTGCAAGATTTCTAGACAATCTTGAGGATTACTACGCTTTGTTTCAGCCCGAGTCCAGACGCAGCTGACACTATGAGGCAATGGGACCAATGAGGCAGAAACAAAAGATCTTTATGATTGGTGATGCACTTTTGACACCATGATGATGCACTTTTGACGCTGTCCGATTGGTCCTACAAGCTCGTCTAGACTCAAGGTGAAACGAAGTATGGTGGCTTCCAGCAAAAAGAAAGAACACACAAAAAGCCTGGTGAAACAAAATGAGCAGATTTCCACATTTGTAAATCTGTAAAAACAATGTTTTCCAAACATTGTAATTGCCGGTGATTTTAACCTTCCCAACATCAACTGGGAAAATTTAACACATTTGAACTATAATTGCAAACACTCAGAACTTTTAATCAATATGGCCTTTGATAATGATTTAATGCAAATTGTTAAATGTTCCACGAGAACTTGCAACCAATAATATCCTTGATCTCATATTTATATCTGAGGAGTTATTGGGTAAAGCACTCACTTGCCAGGTTAGAGAGGGAATATCTGATCGCCATTTGGTTCGGTGTGAATGTGTCGGAGAACTTAATACTAAAAAAACCGACCGATTAGTCAAAGTGCCCGACTACACTCGATCACTAGACAAAAGCGTTTTAGATCACCTCGAATTATCATTTGACAGTTTTTGTGAACAAAGTGAATGTGCATTAGATATGAACGATTTGTGGCTGTCATTTAAGAATTCCGTTCTCTACTGTATAGAAAGTTTTATACCGACACGTTGCAAAAACGAACACGGAAAAGTAATCCTTGGATTACTCGGGAGGTTTTGCATCTCAAACGTAAAATAAACAGAATTAGAATTCAAAACCAAAGAACAGACAAACCTAGCATAACACAACTTCGAAAGCAATTAAGGTCAATGATTCAAGAGTCAAAATGATATTTCCATAATGTGACGTTAGATAAATTTTTGGCGTCGGATCCTACGGAATTTCGGCAATCTATGATCAAATCAAAGCAGCCAATTAATGCCATAACACAGAACGGAACAGAGATTGATGATTCATTCGAAATTACCAGCTCATTCAACGAATACTTCTCAATCAGTGTATACTATGGATAATAACCAAAATCCAACAATAGAATTCTCACAGAAAAGCATTCTGAGTGTTGCAATATCTAAAGAAGGCATCTTTGTAGCATTGCTTAACCTTGACACTAAAAAATCAGTAGGACCAGACCTAATCCCAAACATATTCTTGAGTCGGTATGCAGAATCTCGCTCAAATTTCTTGCTTGAAATTTTTAATAAGTAAACTGAATTAGAAAAATCTCTGACGATTGGAAAACTGCTAAAATAGTCCCAATCTTCAAAGCAGGAGATTTCCATCGTGTTAGTAACTACCGCCCGGTGTTAATTTTGAGCAGCAGTGCAAAATTGATTGAGCATATTTTGTTTAAGCATACTGTCTCTTTTCTCGAAGAGAATAACTTTTTTAATAAAGGTCAACACGGCTTCAGACGCAATCTATATACAGCTACGCAACTGGTGCTCACTGTGAATGATTTCGCAAAATCAATTGACCAATGGAATTGATTGACGGATATCAGACGGACATAGTTTTTCTAGATTTTGCAAAAGCGTTTGACCGCGTGCCTCACAGAAAGCTACTCCTCAAACAGACCCTTATTAAACAATGAACACATTTTAAAATGGTTAGAGGCATATTTAAATAACAGAAAACAGTTTGTACAAATACAGGATTCCCGCTCATCCACACCAAAAGTAGACTCCGGAGTTCTTCAGGGATCAGTTCTTATACCCCTGCTTTTTCTAATTTTTATAAATGACATTACAGTAGACAGATCCGTTCAAATTCGTTTATTCGCCGATGAGTGTATAATTTATAAGCAAGTGAAATGCTTGAATGACCATGTAATCTTAAACAAACGTTTAGAAATAATTTTAGAATGGTGTGATGATTGGCAAATGTCTCTTAATAACCAAAAATGTGCTCATATGACAATAGCTAGGAAAAGAAACCCACTGAATTTTAATTACACTCTTCAAGGAACAGCTTTAAATACGGTATGCGAATACAAAAACCTAGGATTAATCATAACTTCAGACCTGCGTTGAAACTCACATATTGACTTTATCTCTCGAAAAGCAATCAATAGATTATGGGCATTAAAAAGGAGACTGAAGGACTGCTCTAGCAAAACAAAACTAACCATATACAAAATGTTTGTTAGATCTCTACTCGAGTATGCAGACGCTGTGGGATCCTTACACAAAACTAATATTAACAAATTAGAAAGGATTCAAAAGAAGGCATTAAGGTTTATATTTAAAAGGTATAGGAGAAGCACCTCAAGTTAGTAGCTTTATGTACAGGCCGGGCATTCTGCTTTTACAGAAACGTAGAAAGATCAATCGACTGCAATTTATTTTTAATGTAATAAATAGGAACTACATAGATTATCAAGATTACTTTCACTTCAACACGTCTAGGGTCACAAGAAATAAACACAGAAAATCAATCACTGAAATGAAGTGCATGACTGACTGTTACAAATACTCTTGTTTTCCTCTTACTATCCATGCCTGGAATGCGTTACCCGAACAAATTGTCTCTTCAAATTGTTCTACATTGTTTCTAGCCTTGATACCCCTTTAAAGAACATTTTTCTACTCTGTGTGTGTTCCTGATTATATATGTGATGTGTTTTTTGTCTGTTTTTGTTTTGCTGCGCTACCACACTTTGCGCTTGCTTTATCGTAAACCTTGATCGATGTATCTTTCCTACCTTGGCTGCCCCACGGCCGGACAGTAGCATCAATAAATAAAAAAAACAATAAATTATCGGCACATGCTTTGTGAACAGAACTCACCAACTTGGACAACTCCCCATCGGAAGACTCGCAAGATGAATCCTCGAGGTCGGCCGGCAGATCCCTGGCCACCTGCTCGATGAGCCTCTCCGTTGCTGCTGCCCTCCCATGGCTTAGGTCTCGGACAAAAGTGATCTTTGGAGGTCTCCCCATGAACTGGCAGTTAATGAGCTCTGTTCTGCAGTTGAGAAAGGCTCATGTCTGCACCTATGCTGCCTCCAGGTTGTTGTTTTTAAAAACATCTCTATTGAATCTAATAAGAAGAGAGAGAAAGGGAGAATGATGGGTGCCGGCCCCTATTACGGGGTTCCACCAGCCTTGGACGCAATCGCTGTTCTCGTTGCCAGCAGTAAGAAGTAGTCAAATTAAGTTTTTTTCCCATAAAGATGCCTCCCCGATTAAAATGGAAAAACGTTTTCTTAACAAAATTGTGACAGAGTTTATACGGAGTGCACCCATAAGGGCTAACACATTTGGCATATGCCCTGCAAAATAATTCCAAACATTCCCGAAAGTGGGCACGCAAATATAGTTTTGCAACAATTTTTACCACTATCTTTTTCAGAGCTTGAGTCAGAGGTGGTCAAATATTAGAAATAGAGATAAAAACGGCGGCCATGCACTTCCTATGCTTTATGCCGGATGTTCTTCGTCTGCACACTGGTTTCTGATCTTACTCCCAGGTGGTGACTGTTCACATATGTCATTAAAAGTATTATCGCAATTACCTCATTCATCGCCAGCCTCTGCTATTGGTTTGTAGCGTTTTTGCGTTTAGCAAGCCACCCGGGAGCAAGCTCATAAACCAGTGTGCAGACGGCAAACAGGCTGGTATAGGACATAGAAAATACACGGCCTCCGATTTATTTTTATTTTTAATATTTCACTACCTCAAAACTGAGCTAAAATAAAATACATAGAACTTCTGATAAGACTATGTTTGCGTGCCCAATTTCAGGTATGTAAAGTTTGGAACTGGAATTTCGCAAGGCACGCCAAATGTCCTAGTGCTTACAGCCACACCCCGTACATATCCGGTGGCAAGAAGCATCATGAAATGATTTCCGCTCTAGGAGCTACAGGACAGATTTTGGTAGCACGTTCAGCCAAAGCTCGATGAAAGCTGGAGGTGGTAGTTTGGGAGACCCCTCAGAAACATTATTTCGCCATGACCGCAACGTCAACCGTGTAGCAGTAATTTTTCGTCACGGCATATCACAAGTGGAAGAATACTACTCACTTTAGTGGGCCCGTGCATGCTCGGAGACTATCTGAAATCTTCTGCTCGATGCCCGGTTCCTCGAGTGAGGTCGACCAATAAACGTTGAGATAAGTGCAGTCTGGCGAGATGCGTACCTGGTAAACAGAAGCGAAGAACTCTCCGCGAAATTCCCCCCAAATGCCTTCCCCAGTCACGGTTGCTCACCTCCGTCAACTCCACTGCAAGGCCTTTTAACGAGTCGCCGATTTCTCCTGTGGCCATTATGTTGGATATGTTCTCCATAAAAATGGTGTTGAGGACCTTCTGTCTTCGAGTTCGTTCTTGTACCTTCCTCGGCGCTGACGCCACGACGGAGTTGTGCGGCTAAGCGTTTAAGGGGAATCAATACGTCTTCAGGGAACGCTGCCCTGCGGGTTCCAGAGAATGTGGACATCACTTACCATGTACACATACTGCTGCGGGGTCCTCCTCCTGCCAAGAATGAATAGAGTATCAATGGAACATTGGGTCGGGACATGGGCGTACCAACCGGGGGGGGGCAAGGGGGGCGTTGCCCCCCCAGTTCTCAAAGTGGGGTGGGCAAGGCAAGTGTTTTGCTCCCCCTGAAACAGCCGCCACTGGGCAGGGCAAACATTAACCAGCGGCGCCCAAGGGATACCAAGGGCACCGCCCCCCGGCCCTGGGGGGGGGGGGAGAGGGTTTGCCCCCCCCACTCAAAAACAAGTTGGTATGCCACTGGGTCGGGACATTTCATTCAACGCAGTTTCATCAAACATCTCCTAGTTGAGCAGTAGAAATTTTTCATATAGGAAATAGTTTTCTTTTAGAACCGGAAGGAGAGTGAACCTTTTTTTTTCCTACAGAGAGGGAAACTAATAATAAGAATCTTTATTTTCTCCGCTACACCTTTCAATTCTTTTTAGTAATTGAGGATTTTTGCTGCTCATGTGGTCAATAATAAGCGAGAACACCGCCTAGACATGAAACCTGCGATCATCGGGTGCAGTGACGAAGGTGCGTCTTTTCAAGGTTGCTTGAAACAGAATGCGTCCCTTCAAGAAGAGATCCTTGAAGAGACGCATTCTGTTTCAAGCACGAAGCTGTCCTTGAAGCAATGACATGTCTCCATGTTGCATGAAACAAAAACAAAAAAATGATGTCTCTCCTTTATTTTACGTAATCGGCAGTACCGCGGACCTGCAGGCTTTTCAAGCCATGCTCTTAGAGAGGAAGGTATACTCCTAGGATAGAATGAAAGAACAAGTAAATAGGAAAATACAAAACTAAAAGGAAGTGGATATATTGCGAGCAGCCGGCACAGCAGTTCAGAAGAAATATTGCCGGCAGTGTCCCATCATTGGCTGGCTGCAATCACCGTTATTCACTCAAAAATTGATTCGCTCAAATGTCGCTGTTCGCTAAAACGACATTCGCTCATGTGATATGGACCATTTGATGAAACGGCGTTCGGTGGAATGTCCGGTACCCATGTAACGTTCCCACGAGCACGTTGATGAACGCGTGGTAGCGCACGAGCTGAAGGGGAAAGATTCAACTCACTTTGATTTTTCAATTAATTTATGCAGAAAGACTCCAAGCTTAGCGTCATCTCGCTGTCCAACCGAGAACGACCTCACGTATAGCGACACCAAGCCAAAGAGCTTCCTGTGATTCCTCAAACCAAGTGGAATCAACGCCATGTTTGTTTACAACACGTGCAAACTCACGTGGGTTCGCCTCGTTCACCTACCTCAGTTAAAAAAATCATTCATTTTATAGAGGTCGCACGCAACAATCCTAATGCGCGTTTTAAATTACAATGATTACGCTATTCTCCTCGCAATATAAAATACACATTTCACTATATTATATTTTCTGAAGCCAATAAGTTGTAGTATGAACGGCCTTACGACACCAAAACGCACAAAACTTTTTCTAACAAGCACGTCCAGGCTTGGGAAACGAAAACAGATCGGGTCCCCATCCGACGACGACGACAATCAGGATCGTGTTTTGTAGGATGAGCACTTTGCTGCGCACTAATTTAGAAGCTCCATGCTGTAACGGCTTGTGCTTTTCAAGCAAATCAGGATGATGGCGAGGCTTTCCCTCTTCAAGACGACCAGCAGCATGATCAGCAGCACGGAAGAGTTCGTCTGCCCGATTTGCCTGGAGATTTTTCAGAAGCCCGTGACGATCAGCTGCGGCCACACGTAAGAGCTCGCTTTTGTTCTCGCAACGCATGGTGCGCGTCTCCAAAACACGAGATGCGCTCGCTCGCGTCCGCTTAGAGCTGCCTTTGCTTCGCCTCTACTCGCGCTCTTTGATAGCCTTTTCAGCCCAAATGAAGGTGCGATCGTTTTTCTCATAATTCGGAGCAGGGTAAAAAAAAAAATGGTTCGACTTTGCGAGCGTTTCTACCATCAGTTCGTAACCTGTTCTCACGGCGTTCGATTTCGAACGTTCGAACGCTGATCCGCAGGCCCGCTTTTTTTCTTTCTCTCTTTCGGATTGTTTATCCCGATCTAAAGGTGGCGCCTGAATCAGGTGAATGTGGAGGATGATGCGCGGCTGCTTTTGTGCGAAGAGTGGAAAGAACGCCGTCTCTTTAAACCGACGCTCGTGGTGTGCTGTTGCTATGCGGGCCATGTCGGTGTGTTTCGGAGTCTCGGGGGTACCTCGCTGGGCACCCGATGCCCAGTCTCGTGCGATGGAGCACGTCAACAACGCCGTGTGTTCCCGACCCGACGCATCGGGTCGCGAGTTACGCAACCCGGAGTTGCATCCTTTGTTACCCCCCGCTACGTGTACGCCACAGCTGATGTGCGCACTTGAATGGAGTGGCGCGTGTCTGGCGTTTTTCGGCCGTTCGACCAGGTTTCGTCGTAAATGTCTGTCGTGGTGCGGATCCTAGGCGTCGCATTTGCTTTTGCATCCGCTGTCGTTTCAAAGTCCCCGAGCGAGCACCAGCCGACGCTGCGAGAACAAAGGAAGGGGATGCGCGCTTTCCCTTTCCCCCAAGTGCGCAGAGGAAGCGAAGCGGTTCCTTGAGAGAGTTGCTTAGCGCAAAACTTGCCATATTCATCGCAACATCGTGTGCCGAGGCGCTCTCACCCTGTAATTGATTGTTTCAATATTTAGTTATCGTCTGCAGCTCCTGCTCAGGTTCTTGCCCTCTAATAAATCATTGTATATTAATAGATAATAAGGAAAACAACTGTATTCCCGAGGCAAAGAAAGATTATGACCATAGTAAGAGTAAAATGTTTCACTTGCCAGCATTTCTCTTTTTATTTTTTTATTTTTTAGTGGGTGAAGAAAAAGGGGGGGGGGGGGGGGGAGGGGGGTTAAGGCCAATATATTTCTAATGTAAACAAGATCCAGCCAATGGTGTAGGGTTCTCTTCCGATTCCCCTCAGACCCAGTCTCCAGATGAACGTGAGACCGCAACTCTGCTCTGGGCAATAGGGTTTATGGAGTTTCGGCCTGGGAAACAGAAAAGAACCTCACATAACTAGCGGCCAGTGTTGCACCCCTTGAAGTTGGGTACAAGTGTAAGTGCATAATCAGTGGCAGTTTGAAAGTTGTAAAAATTATTTTTACAACTTTTACAACTTTATTTTTTAGTTTTTTTTTCTATATTAAAGAAGCAGCTAGCATAAAACAGATAGATACCTATGTTATGTAGGGTTCGTGTAGCACCCATAGCTATTTTAAAATAAACATGAAACAACCATTGGACTATGCCACATTTATTCGCAGGGTTCGTACTAGTCCTGAAAACCTTTGAAACCCTTGAAATTGAAGAAAATTTCCTTCAAGGCCTTGAGAAACTTTGATCATATAGTATTCCTTAAAAAAGTAGCTATACTTAATTTTGCAGCTACTAAGGTTAAAACTTTAAATATCAGGACAGACATAACTGTTTTACTTTTAAACTTTCAACACATTAAGCATTTATTCAAAGCTGGTTGGTTTCGTTTTTCTGGGATGGAAGGTGAAGGGGTGAAAAGGGCAGAGTGGGCAAGAAAGTAAACAGGACGGGAAGAAAGAAGGCAATTGCTTGGGGAGACGTTCTAAGCACTTAAGGCAACACGCTGAAGCTTGTTCAGATGGTTTCAACTGGATGGCAATATTAATCAGGAAAGTAAATCAATTGCACTAATTAATGTGATAGAATTACTACCAATGTATGATGCTGAGAAAGTGGAAGCATCAAGTGACATTATGTGCATATCCAAATCAAACTATCTGAAGAAAACTGCAAAAAGCTAATACCTAAACAATAACCCAAAAATAATTTTAAAAACGCTATACCAGCTCCTTTGCAAGAAAAAAAAAATTCCATTAGCACTTCAGTGGTAAAATATTATTTTGTGCAACAAGACCAGCATTTGCAATGAGTTGAAAATGTTGGTATGTCATAAAACTAACAGATACAGTGTTGTCTTGTGTCCTCAAAAATATCTTAATTTTTGTCTTCTAGACCTGTACGAAACCTCTAATGACGATAGGAGTGTTCCAAGGAGAGATAGAAATTAATGTATCCTAATCCTGCGGATCGCGTCGGGCGACGTAGGATGTTCAATGTGTGTTTGAGCTGCGCAGGGTGTTTCTCTACGAGATTTCCTCTGCTCGTCATACACATACAGTAGGAGGCCCACATAGTTGGTGCCACTAGAGGTCACATGGCACGTCATGGTGTCATCTGATGCAGTGCCATGTCACGTGATGTCACTAACGTCGCACGATGTGGTCACGTGACCGTCTCGCTGATAACGACATTGTGTGACCACTGTCCACTGCGTTAGGTGGGCGGTTTTTCGCCCATCAAACCTAGGTTTCCGTAATGTCGAATGTAGCAGGAGATAGGTTCACTAGTTTTGCCGAGCGCGTGGCAGCCTTTCGTGGCGTCACATCGCGCCTTCCTCGGGAATCCCAGCCCTCAAACACACTCTGTGTTTAAAAAAAAACAGTGCTGAAGAAAGTTATTTAAAGCATAACCACTGATCTATTCTATGTTTCTCTACACCGCGTGTTTTGGGAAAAGCTCGTAACTATAGCTACTTCGGTGGCTCCAAGGCCAAGTGCCGGCCTGCGGATCCCCAGGTGGCGGGTTTGAATGCCGGCCGAAGTGCCCGCAATTTGCTGAAGGCTTATTGTGGAGCCAACATTAGGGTTCCACGTCATAAGATCCTCAGTCCTACGCTGGGGTGGGCCAGATTTGGTTTGACACGCTTGGCGCCCCCAAATTTCCTTTTGTGTCTAAATGTGTTTGAAAGATTACATCGCCTCGGATGTTTTCCGACTCTTGCCACATTAATCATATTGTCGATGAAAAGTTTTCCCATTGCTACTTGTATTTCACAGCTTTTCCGTGTTTTCTCACATACATATTGAAAAGTTTTAGTTTTGCACTTACGATGGGTGGAGCCGAGCCTCGATACGATCGGCAAGCAATGTGTGCAAAATGCGTCCTCGTTTTGATCCCAAAACTGCGATTTCACTTCCTGAAACGGGACGAAGAGGCTGGAAACATGAGCGAAATAATTCATCTTTGTGTACTTGGGCAACGCGTAAAGTTATTGCTAAGAACGGTCGTAATACAATAGGTCCGAGGCCTACATTAAGCCGAGGCCATAAAGAAAAAAAAAATTAATGGTGGCCGAGTGGTCTGGGGCGTCGCAGTCTGGCGACAACGATCGGGAAGTTCTGGACACGAGTCCATAGTCCTCTTTATATTGTTTTTTTTTTTATTCATAAGCGCTTAATTAAGCACTAATTCACCTTCAGAAGCCTTTATATTTATTTGTATCTCTTTAGTCCTTGCACTAGTGCTTCAGTGAGAGCAGTTTAATGCGATAGGAAAGCGCTAAAAGGTGTCTGAAATGCGATGAAGACGAGCGTTTTCAAGCTCTTCCCCACCACACCATAGCTCAGTGCAGTGACTGCTCTCACTGAGGCAGTATTGCAAACACTAAAAAAACACAAATAACAAAAAAAAAAAAGCTTCTCAAGGAGAATTAGATTACCGTAGAATACCGTGCATCCGCCCATCCCACACTAAGCGCCCATTCCCAAATTTGTAAGATTTGAGAAAATATGCTCAGTTCATTGATATGTAAAATTGATGACTGGTCAAGTGCGCATCCCCCAAGAGACCGATCTCACTAAGCGTTGGGCGCATGCGTAAAGCCGCCATAACTTTAGTTCACAGGAGGCAGACGGCCGTGCACGCGAGTGCTCGTGCCTTCTCGTGCTCCACACGCACAGAGCTCCAGCTTGGTTCTCGCACGTGCAGAAAGACTAAAGTTCCCTCGATGCATTGCGGCAGCGGTGGCGTAGTCAAACTGGCTGGTGAGATCGGTCTATTTTTCGCGATTATCGCTATATTTTGAGTGGGCGCTTGTCCGGTACTTTACTGTATGGTACTTGTGCATTAACATAAAATGGAAAAAAAAAAAAAAAAACATGAAAGAAACATGACCCTATAAGGACTTGAACCCAGGACTTCATCAGTGTGGTTGCCAGAGAGCAATGCCCCCAGACCGCTCGGCCACCATGCAGACATTGTTTTCAGCTGTTTACGGAAGCATGTTTTGCCGATGTAGGCCGAGCAGCTTTAGTTTCTCCTTACGTTTCATTGTTTGTTGCGACCCTCCTTAGCAATAGCCGTACACGTCACTCCTCAAATATGCGAAGGCAATCCATTTTGCTCGTATTTCCAGCTTATTCCTCCCGTTTCTGGGAGAAAAATTTTATTTTTGTGATCAAAGCAAGGACGCATTTTGCGCACGTCGTTTAGCAATTGTATCGGGAAGCGGCTCGATCGATTGGAGATGCCAGTACGGTTTCCTAAATCTCTCTATTGTCTCTACTTTAGTAAGGAATTAATCAAATGGGCATAAACGATGCCAATTACTGGACAAAGCGTTAAATGTACTTAATTTGAGCTTGCGCTTTCGTTGGGAGCCTGGAAACATTTATTTGAACGCTAGCTGCTGCCAGCTCCGGTGACGCCGTGTGCATGTGCAGGTTCTGCAGCACCTGTTTGGCCCAGTGCAAGCAAGATGACCCCAAGTGCCCACTCTGCCGTTCCATTTTTGACCCGAGCAAAACAGTTCGGGCCAAGGACCTTGCCAAAAACATTTCCTCGCTCAAAGCACCCTGTTCTGGCTGCCGAAAGGTGGTGAGTGCCCGCCCCCCGACCCGGTGGGTGTCCGCCTTCACTGCGCTACATGACGCTCTATGATTGCAAGAGTAGCCTGCATTGGGCCCTCTGGGGTCTCTCTTCCGCCATGTTTGTTGGAACATGCTCACCTTGTTTGTGGAGAGTGTCCCACAGTTCTGCAAATTCCTTCGCAGTTGTCATTGGGAAGATTGCACAAGCTGTTGCTCTCGCCAGGAGTGGGCAGGCTCTCGTTGGAGAAGGAGAAAACGTCGCCTTGAAGTCAGCGACCGGCATATTGTTATTGGCTTCCAAGTTGCAGTCCGCTCCCCTCCGCTTATTTACTTGTAGGGGAGCCGAGTCTGCTTACCCAACAACAGGAAACATGCCCTGAGGCCGCAGGCGAATCCCTAAATATCTTCGAGGAGTTTCTCAAGAGCAACTTAAAATGCAGTTTCAACGCAACCCAACCCCCCACCGAGGCCCTAAGTTACAGAAATAATGGGACAGCCCAGATCTTGTTTTTCTATCTATGATACAACTAAAATGCATCCGTGTGTTCAGATACATTTCCGCCCGATTCACCCCCCCCCCCCCCCCCCCCAACTTATTCCTTTATTTGTCTTTTGTATTGCTTGAATAATAATGTTTGCCTTGTGGATAGTGCATCGATTTGATGTATATACCAAGTGTTAAAAAAAAAAGACTTTTAATAATGCCTAAAAATCGGGTAGTTGAGAATACGGCAACAAATTGCCAGCCACGGCAGACATTGGGGATTGCAAAAACCATACTAATTTGTTGAATAATGAACTAAAATTTTCTGATTAATTAGTGGAAGTAAACATATACTTTTATTTAGAAACTTGCTGAGTATCATTGAACACCACTAAATTAACTAATTTTAGAAAGATACAGCAATTTACGGCGTTCCAAAAGAACGCTAAGTTTCGACACATTTCTAGGTTTCGGTTTCCTATCGGAGCACATCTCTGCAACAGCCCCCCCCCCCCCTCCTCCTCCCCCTCTCCCTTTCCCCAGAGCCGTATATGGGGAGAGTTTGGCCAGTCTATGATCTCACCGCCGTAACGCCCCCCTCCTGAATGAGTCAATCAGCCCGCGGCGCAGAGCGAGAGGCGTGAGCGCATGCACGTGAACTGGCTTTCTCTTAGCTGAGCGGGGAGGGTCGGCCGCCATTTTCATTCATATGCCCGGCAGAATGCATCGAATCAACATCCAAATTTCAGTTCTTTCCTTTTATTTGGCAGGCTGTGGTAAGAAAATGATATTGTGTTATTGCTCGGTGGCTAACAAATGAAGTTTCTTCACGTTTGAACAAAAACTTTGATTCAGGTGAAAAAGAAATATGCCCTTAGCAGACTACGCGTAGCCTCAACAGTGCTCTGCGCCCACAGCGATGTGTCAAAATGGCGATCGTCTCCTCTTTGCTTCCTTCTTTCTCTCTCGCTCCTTCGGCGCTCTCCTCCCTTTCCTTCACTTTTCTCCCCTCCAGCGCCTTCGTTGCCACACCCACTGGCCAGACTCTCCCAATATACGGCTCTGCCTCCCCCTTGTGGCCGAGGCATGCAACATGCATGCTCCACACCTTCTTCCATCCTATGAGGGAGGCTACGATGTAGCTGTGCGCCTCGGCTTTGGATGGTGGGAAGTGGTCACTGCTGGAGAGATGTGCTTTGATAGGAAACCGAAACCTAGAAAGTAGCGATGGACTTAGTCTGCCGAACTTCAGATTCGGCAAAGTTTGGCACAAGCCAAACTTTTGAAGGAAAATTTGGCAAAAATTCGGCAAACGTCTGCGCACGCGCGAGAACGTGACAGGGAAATGAATTGCAAATGGACGCCGTGCGGTCACCATGATACCATCACGCAGTGTAGTAGTGCGAGGTGCGGAGTAGGCAACATGGTAAGTGTGTGTTTGTCAGCCTTTGCGAGTGTGGTTCATTGCAATATTTTCTGCCTCAAGAACAGAAGATCAACCAGGAATTGACACACTCCACTGCGCAAATGACAAATGATGCGGTACATTTTGGATAATGTGGTCTTCATTTGATATTTCCAGTGATGCATAGAGGCAGTTGCAACATTGACTGGCAAGTACTTTTAACCACTTGATATTTCCAGTGATGCATAGAGGCAGTTGCAACATTGACTGACAAGTACTTTTAACCCCTGAAGTGCCACATTTTTTTTTCCAAAAGTAACCCAAAGGTGCCTTTTTTTTTTTTTGAATTTTTATTCATCTAGTATTACACATATAATTTGAAAAGTTTATTACAAAAAAATCAGTGTAGGCGAAAAAAATGTTTGCCAACTAATACGAGTGCTGCCATTTATGATCAGCGCCGCAAAACTACACGGACGAGCCTTGCTCGTCCGTGGAATTGAGGGCTACCGAAAAAAACACTGTACGACCTGAGCTCGTCCATGGCACTTAAAGGGGTCATGAAACGCTTTTCCAACTTTTTCCTGTTTAGCTTTCCTCCTCAAGTCATAAATCGCGCATTCCACCAAACAGTTAAAGAAGACGAAAAGGGGGAGTCCCCTCTTGCTCGCACTCTCGTTTGTGTAATCCGGACACATCCATTCTCCCCCTAGAAGATTAGCCCGCCGCTCAAAATTCAGACAAAAGTTGCTTTCCTCACCCCGTTCATTCCGAAGCTGACAGTGCTGTTGAAGCTACGTGCTCGTTGGGCCAGCCACACTTGCCACGTGAGCGTGGCGAATGTGGCTGCAGAGAATGAAGTCAGGTGATGAAAGGGAGGCGGCTGATTGGTCCGGCAAGTGCGTCGCTTCCACCACAATGTCAGCTTAGGGGTGAAGGGAATAAGTGAAGTCCGGTTGCGTGTGACGTCAGTTTGGACCCGATGACGCGCTTTTGGGACCGCGCATGTATCATCGTGAAAAGGCAGAGAGGTTGCGAAGGGGAGGAGGTACGAAATAGTCCGCTCTGTTTTCAAATTTTCGCACTGAAAGTCAGGCTTTTGACTTTCTACCTTTTTTCTTTTGGTCCACTGAACGATGTGCTATTAGTAAAATCCCAATCTAAACTGATTTATCCCAACCCAAAAACCGTTTCATGGGCCCTTTAAGGGGTTAAAGCACTCCTCGCCATTTAGCAATCCTGTCTTCAACTCACAAGTAGTTTTCTCAAAAAAAAAAAAAATTGCTTTTTAATTAGCGTTATTTTGCGGTTTTCATCTATCAGCATAAAACTAAACACACAACTATCATGCTCGACGTTGCACATCCGACATTCCTAACTCTTCCCTTCTTCCTAAACATGCACGTGTGTCCTAATCTCGGAAATTAGCATTTTAAAAGTTAAAAACAAGACGTGTATATGGGACTCACACTTTCATGCAAAGCTGGCGTCAAGTGACTCAAATCGAAAAACATGCATGTTTACAATAATAGTGTTTTCTCTTCTGGTGAAGGCTCAGCAACCGTTGCATTCATTTTTGTGCGCGAAATGGTGACTCGCAAAGAAAGTAAGAACACAGCGTTACTGCCTTTATTTAAAAAATGTACACACTTCCAGGCTTGCGCTGATGAGGCCTCAAAACCGAAACTTGCGTACCGTGACTTCGCCCGCCACCCTGCTACTACCCAACCTTGTTGTCGCACCTCTTCTGCAGGAAGTCACTGTAAAATTGCCAGTAGACACACAAAAGTGAAACCGGTACAATAGACCGATGCCACCAAGCGAACTGCGCAGGCGCGCGCATTCCGGAAGTATTGCCGCCGCCATGCTACTTGTAGTCATCGCTCTCCGGCTTCCCGGCTGAAAAGGGCTCATGTGGGCGTACATCATAGTTTGGGCAGCCCTGGTGTTAGCTTGGATTCTCCTGCATATCAGTACTTTATAAGATTGTGTTGTTTGTGATGCCTTAATTTGTCATCAAGCGCAAAAAAAAAAAAAAAAAAAAAGTTTCGGTTTTTGGTCGTCTTATCGCTTTAGAATCGCTTTGTTGTCTGCTCCGTCGTCGTCCGCTTCTTCGCCTCCGTGAACGCGCGTGAACCCACTGCGTACACGCGGTGGTCTTACTCCAACAGCGGGAAAAACAACGAGGCCGCTACTCCCTCGAGCACTCCGGATAAACTTGGAGGCATAACTTTTATTCGATAGTGAAGACGAGCCCAATAGATATTCTCGGAGAGCGATAGTTTTCTAAAGCTCGTTTTATTCTTTTTGACAGCCTTTGCGACAGGGTGCAAATGAACTTCGGGGGGAAGCCTGCACACAAAGAAACGATCCACAAAAAGAACCTGCCTGAAGAACCGTAACAACTCGCATTTGTCAAAATGAAACGTAGCCATGCGAGATGCCTGAGAACTTAGGGTAAAGATGAGCTCTTGTGTACAGTTTCTATTCCATTTTATTTGGTTAACGGTAAGAGCTGTCCGACGGAAAATGCTTTTTTCCGGTGTGTCGATTGGTGTTAACACAGAATGGATCAGTAATGCCAGCCAAAATCACGTTGTAGAATAATAGCCCACCAAAAAAAATTAGGTCTGATTTAAAAAAAGTCGTTTTATGTCAAGTTATACATACCGAGAATCGCTGCTCTTTCTTCAGTGATTGTACTGATCTTTTGAAGCACAGTTGTGCTCAAAACATGTCGTATCAATAACAGTTGTAACCACCAAAATGCATCAAGCAAACATTGTATTAAAAACGGTCACAGCAAGGCAGTGTGGAAGTTCCGATTGAGATAGACCAACGGATATACCGCTATGGAGCGAGCGCTCTGGGAGATTCCAACGTACTAAACACTTTAGCACGCCCTACTACGTCTCATGCCCTGTGTAAGCTTACCCTCTTTAGTTATCGTGCAATGGGGTGAATATAAATTATGAATCAAATAACGAAACAAATATAAAAACCCTTTTTCCTGCCGCTCTTTTACCGCTCTCTTTACATTTTTTAGACACTCTTTTCGTGGGCTGGTTTCTTTCGGGAAGACATAAAATCCGATGCCTTTTTGCGTGGTGCGGTTATTGCAGCACCTTGACACAGAACGGGTGAAGACGGCCATTACAAACCGTGGGTAAAAGGCCGACTAAAAGACTCGTGCTAACCTGAAAATTCCCAAACGCCGAGCGTACAATGCGCCTTGACGCGGCCAGAAAACTGGGGAGAACTACAGGTACCAGAATGCACCGCGGCGGCGGTGGCGTCGTGCAACTCCTGGTGAGATCGGTCTATTACGTTTAGGAATATCACTTTATTTAGTAATAACTGTGTCAATATGCATTTAAAAAAAAAAACCCAAGAACTTTTATTGCCCTTAAAAACGGAATATAAGCTTTTAGGTTTGGCAATAAGGTATTTTTGCCGAACCTTAGTGCCGAAACACGCCCTGGTCTAAAGGGGAAACTATAGAACGTGTAATTTCAAGGTGCACAGGCTTTGTTCCGCCCCCTTGGGGGGGGGGGGGGGGGGGGGGGGGGGGAATGGATGATTTGCTGACATGGATGGACGAATGAATAGGGAAAGAATTGTGGTAACTAAGAGGAGATGGGAAGATCAGTAGAAAATATCTAGGGAGGGGTGAAAATACAGATAAAAATAAGCAATGGGAACACTTTACAAGGGAGGGGGAGAAAAGTTTAAGAAAGAAGGGATGACAAAATGTTAGGCTAGGTGGCGCAAGCTGCCGCCCGTTACAAAGGGTATAGCTATTACTATTCATCCTTTGCCGAATCTTTAAAACAGCTCGGCCAAAATTCGGCTTTGCCGAATCCTAAGATTCGGCAGAAGTTTGTCCCTTTACTACTAGAAACGCGTCCAAATTTTGCATTTTTGGGAACGTTGTAGATTGCTGCATCTTTCTGTATTTTTATATCTTTCTAAAATTAATTTTTAGTCGTATTCGATGATGCTCAGCAAGTTTTGAATTAAAACCACATGTTTATTTTTACTAATTAGAAAGTTAATTAGTGTTTTTAGTTAATTATTTGACTAATTGATGTTTTTACAATCCCCTACTTGTGTTGTGGTTGGCTATTAGTTCCCGTAAAAAGTTTCCTTTTTTCTCAACCACCATATTTTTAGAAATTTTTATGTCTTAGCTGAAATACCCGGTATTTGCGACTCCAGCAAACCAGATGGCACATATCGGAAAAACGCTGAATTGGCTGGAACAGGTCCTTTCGGAATTTCTGCATGTCTCTTGTGGCTTCCGTGGTTACATGTAGTTAACTGTAGTATCAGCTTGTTCTCAGGTTGCTCTGCACGCAACCTATGCAACCGCTTGAACCAGACATTCCGTTTTTATCAACGTTCATCAGCACCATGGAAGGACAGTGGGCAGTCCTTTGATCGCTTCCTCAAAGAAAGTCAAGCCTCTGGAAGCTCGCGCACGCCAACACATCGCCGCAGGTTCGAAACGTGGAGGATAAAAAGCGGGGCAAACCATTTTGAGTTTAATGCTTGCTTGCTGATGCCCCAGCGTTGTGCGTTGAGCTGGCACATGGCGCGGCACAACCTCTATTAGACTATAGCCCATAGTCCATAGTCACTTATAGTGATTGGAACAGGGCCCCCAAACACTGGCACGATTTGGTGTTATTGAAACGAAGCATGCTCGATGAGAAGAACACTGTCGTCCATTTTTTTCTAACCAGCGTCGGAAAAAGTTCACCAACTCGTCGTCGTCGAAGACAGCAGTCCTGGTACTGTACCCAATAGGCTGTTTGGCATCGGACACACATTTTTCTAGGGCATTGTTTACCGGTACTCTAGTGCCTGCAACGCGTTCTCGGCCGGTGTGTTTATATCGGCCGGGCATCAAAAGTGGTTCCAGAGTGGGGAAACTAATCTCGCCAAAGCTGTGGTGTCCTGCTGTCGTAGGCCAAGTAGTTGGCGGTGGAGGTTCCTGCAAAAGAGACTGGTGAATGCGAGTGTCGAGGACTGTCATGCTTGGCCTCGGAGCAGGACAGACGTCTACTCCATGGTTGTGGCAGGGAACGAACTCGAGGGACTGGAAATGAGGACGCTGTAAATGCGCCATACCGGTAATGATTGTGCTATCCGAGAGAGTGACCCTTGTCCCCAGAGTGCGCGAGTTTCCTTAGTTGCACAATGTGTGCGTGAGTGTGCAATGCCCGATGCAGGTGCCGCTGTCCAAGCTACGTGCCCACAATCGCACCTGCACCGACCAAGTGGAGGGAGCGACAGCCGCTTGGCCGCCCGTCTACCGACCACCCAACGGAGTGTCGGGGCGCGATCCTTCCAACCAGGAGAACCGGCTCACCTTCCCCTGTCCTTACTGCGAGACTGACAACCTTGATCTGGTTGCCCTGAGGGACCACTGCAATGCTGACCACAACAACAGCTCACAGTCGGTGGTATGTTCCCACCCCTATTTCACACTCCGCAAGCACCTCTGGACTTGGTGCTACCCGGCAGCACGGTTGAACTTACCCTAGTGCAAGGTTGTGTGCAAACGTGCTGTTAACGGCTATGAGAATGCCAGTGAGGTAAGCAACTCTGACGGTAGGGTCTTGGCACCTGAAATGGGACGCTGCTTCAGAATAATGCCAAGTGTTTGTTTTGGGTTATGCGTTCCACGGTATCCTTTTCTCTCCTGGCGACACATTTGGTTTGAGCCGAGAGGCCGTTAAGAACTGCACAGCACACATTCGGAAAACTCCAGCTGGCAAAGTGCTGAGAGTTCGTCCCTTTTGTCCTTCATGGTCATGCTACAACGTAATTACATGCCAATGCCACTTTATCATCATTGAACAGGGAAGTTTATCCAATCCTGGTAGCTGTAGCCCCCTTTTGGGCTCTCAGAGGCAGAAAAATTACTGCCATAGGGAGGCAGGCACTAGTTGCCAAGAGAAAGTTCTGACACAGTGGACAATCCAACCCACAAAATTCCACTGTGGGAGTTGCCCAAAGATAACAGAACTGGAAAATTGCCCTCTATTCTCATTTGTTATCAGGGTGTGTATGTCTAGTGATGAATATGGGCTTTCATTATTGCTGTAATGAAAGGAGGCTTTTCTTTTTCCCTGTGTGCAGGTGTGTCCTGTGTGCGCGTCCATGCCGTGGGGAAACCCGCATCAAAAATCCATCAATTTCCTCAGTCACCTCAACCTCAGGCATCGCTTCGAGTATGACAGTTACGTGGTAAGTCGCCCTATCACCTAGGCGTTGACTACTGAGGGGCTCCCAGTTGTTGGGGAGCCCTCCAGTAGCCAGACTGGTGCCTCTGCCTACCGCAGAACAATCCCCGGTAGGCAAAGACACCAGTGCTTCATGAACTCTCTCTCTCCCGTAATATATACATATATACGCATTCACACACACAGGATGTTCAGCGAAACGCGGAACAAATCATTCCTACCAAAACTATGTATTGCACAGAAAAAAGGCTTGTGACGTTCTGGTCCTGGGCCAGGGTCCCATTTAGGAAAATTAGGTATTAAAGTTTGGGATAATTAAGTTGTTAATTATTTTTTCAAATATCGAGTTTAAGGGCATGGTTTCACTTAGAAACTTGCTGGGCATCGTCGAAAACCCCTAAATCAAACCTTATTTGGACAGGTATAAACCACAACCAGCATTTTATGACGTTTAAAAAAAAAAAAAAAAGTTTTTCTTTTTTTCTTTTTTTTTTACGCATTTTCTGGTTTTGCTTTTTTATCCAAGCGCATCTTGGTGGCCGGAGACCTGCCCTCCCGCGGTTGAGGCAAGCAGCTTCGGCAGTTGCTTCGGCCACGTCGAGCTCGCCTGCCTCCCCTCTCTCGTAAAAAAGGAAGCGTTGCGCGTGCAGGGACGAGTGGCCGGAAAGGAAAACCTCACTTTTGAATGAGCATGACATTGCAAGATTGAACTTTTTTCTACTGGATCTGCGCTTCGGCCGCGAGAGGGCAGTACTGCAGCCGCCAAGATGCACTTCGATAAGCATACCTGCCAACTCTTCCGAATTTTTTGTAAAATGTACGAATCGGGACTAATTTTACGATTTTACGAATCTTGCTTCAAATCTTACAAACAATAATTTTTTTTCTTTTTTTGTAACTCCGTTGTTGGCGGTATCTTGCACCGCCACAAGAGGACGATAGGTACCGTCCATAGCAGCGTCGTGGTTTTTACTATCCGTCTATCCGGTGGCCACGGATCTAAAACCAATCCAAAGCTCAAAGCCTTTGTTCGTGTGTTCGGCGGTGCACGGGTGCACGTTGGTTCGGCGTGTTCAGACGTTGTTGGGCCTCATTGTTTCGGCCAGTTTCGAGGCGAGAAGTATGGCGTCTGTGTTTGTTGCACGTGTAACTGTAGCATTCTCCTGGTCACTGTGGCTTCGCGGCGCAATGCCGAACTCCAAACCTCAAAAGAGGTACTTTCAGGTGTTCCTGAAGTCCTACACGTCGAAATTTTCATGCTTCATGCCGCCCAAAAAGCGAGAGAAGTTTGGATTCTGTAGCACGTGCAAGTGTGATGTAAGCGTTTTGCACGCTGGCCAGGCTGACATTAAGCTGCACATTGCTTCGTGTAACCCCCCCCCCCCCCCCCCCCCCTGCCGCGGCCGTGGGACTTTTACAAATTTGAAAGTCCACAGGTTGGCAGGTATGGATAAGGAAACGAAACCAGAGAATGCAAAAAAACGAAGGGTTTTTCCAATTGTCATAAACTGCAGAGTTTGCTTTATACCTGTCTAAATAAGGTTTGATTTAGAGGTTTTCAATGATGCCCAGCAAGTTTCTAAGTGAAACCATGCCCTTGAACTTAATATTATAAAAATTAATTACAGAAAAATAATTAACTTAATTATCCCCAACTTAATAACTTTCCTAAAAAGAAAACGTCACAAGCCTTTTTTCTGTGCGATGCATAGTTCTGGCAGGAACGATTTGTTCCGCGTTTTGCTGAACACCCTGTAAATATATATATATATATATCTTAAGACTGTAGTAGGCCGAGGGCATGCACATATAAGTAGAAGTCAGCCAGGAACAGACAAACTTGAAAAGTTTTCATTTAATGTAAAAATACATAGGTTGTTTCGAAGGGTGGCCCTTCCTCGTCAGCTTGACTACGAAGGGCTTATACTAGAGCGATATGTCGCTCGTATCCAGAGCTATTTTGCCCGCGTTTCTGGAAGCACCCTATATATACATATGTTAGTGATGGAAGTGCTGCGCTATTTGCACCAAATTGTGCCCTGTATGCAAGCCTGCTTCATGTCATGCCAAAATGCCATTTTAGCTCAAAATTGCACCCCACCTAAGCCCCAAAATACGCTTAAAAAAAAAATTAATGTTTGTGAGCATTAATAATTTAAGAAGTAAAAGCAGAGTAAAATGAGTAAAGACGCCGTAAAATACATGTATTTTACGGCGTCTTTACTTACGTAGCTAAAATTAGTTCGTCTACCACGCTGGCCACTTAATCGTCTGAACTGTCTGACAATGATGTTGACGATATCACCGAGGTAGAAGTCTGGAGAAAAAAAAAAAATTAATAAAAATGGTGGTATGGCGGTTGTTGTGATAAGACAGAACCAGAGTGTCATACTCCTGATGACTTGATTTTTAGCTCAGCCACATGGCTGCACACCGTGACACTATTGCTGCTCGCATAAACCTTCACCACCTCGCACTGGCGCGTGCGTGTTGAGCTTCACCGCGTTGCACCGTTGTGTTAGAAGAAGTGGCATGCGGGAAATACCCATGGGTTAGCGGAATGGCTTACAAATTATGCTCAGTACTATTACAGGTCAACCTTTTTTGGTCTCGATTCTAGGTTAACCTTTACTTTTAAAAAATAGTGCCGAGAAAGAAAAAAAAAAAAAAAGCGGCCCTACTGTAATTTTTGTTTATAACGAAGTCAACGGGACCACAAAAAAGTGTGATATAAGCGGTAATTCGATAAAAGGCAACAGAGCCAAAAAAACAGTGCCAGCAGTCTTGAATGCGGATGGGAATACTGCAGAACTCTCTGACTGTATATTTAATGAGACCTTGGTTATGAACATCTCGCGGCAGCTTTACCGAGTAAAAAATAATTAAGTGGAAACAAATAATTAAGTGGAGTTTGCCGATAATTTCATCGGCATTGATTCTCCTCGAACTGCTTCGGGCATTGCAAGAACACTGTCACCACCGCTGCACTCCAATTTGTTTGGAAGCGGCCGTAGGATGTTTTGCGTCTCCGCAGTCGTCAGCGTTTCCCGAGTTGCCTCTCCGACGCAGCTTCGTGTTTACCCTGGCCGCACGTAAGGTTTACTATCGCAGCCTCCGTGGCAGAAGCATCCACGGGAACGTCCGCATCGACAAGCACAAACAAATTAAAATTATCCTCGGTGGCTTTGCCAACATCTTTTCACACACACTTGTAGAAATCGTTGGAGCCATGGAAATCGTGCGCCAGCTCGGCGAGCATACTCGCGACAGAAAATCTGATGTCCGCGAAGCAGTTGCCAATCTTTCATCTTCGGATTGCCGGCGCGCTTTTTCCTGCGCGAGAAACTTCTTGAACCCGTCCCGTATGCCTCGCTCGTTCTGCAAAATGGTAGGCAATGTCAAACAGCCATTGCCGGAATGTCGAATTCTTTGGCAATTTTGGACTTGGGCCGGCTGCTTTTCTCATCCTCGCAGATCTAAGCGACTTCTGGTTAACACTCCCATATGACGCACGTGTGCGTGTAGTACACCGCAGGGGCGCACGCCGGGGGCTCCGAACGGGATGATCTCCTCCGAGTTTCATCGCTCCCTTGACCCGATTCTGCCAGGAGTTGGGCAGCGTCGGCCGCGGGCACTGTGAGTAGCGTCGGAACGTTGACGCTGCTCCCTGCCCGCATCGGCATCGGAAAAGGCGCTAAGCAAGCTCTGTGCACCCTGTCCTCTGTTACCCATTTACTAGTTTGCCGTCTGCCTCGGTGGAGAATCTCGTCGTTTGTGCCCTCGAAATCTCGCACGATTTTGCAGAGTGTGTGGCTCATCTGAAGCTTGCCCTTGTTCGGGTCAAGAAGGTGGCGCAGCAGTGACCACGTTTTCGCCGTGCCCAGAGTCCCCTGGAGATTGTTGCACGTCTGATGCCAGTTGGAGTGTGACTGCTGGGCTGCTTGCTCGAGCATTTCCCTCTCCAGCTTGGCAGTTCAGATCTTGAGCTGGCGGTTGAATCGCTGGCGTTTCCACCTCTTGAGGCCACGCCTGCCGTCCCAGAGGCGTAGGAGTTGAGAGCCTACCTCTGGCCTGTTGTTGGTGAGATACACGTGTCTGGTGTGCTTCTCTCTATGTCAGTCTGCAGGTCTCTTACCCTCTGCTCTAGGTCTCCTGAGAGCGCAGGCTGCTTTGGGTGCGACTTACGGAATGCATCGCAGTCGGTTAAGGCCTGACATACTTGTTCTAAGAAGTAACGGCGACCTCAACCTCGATGATGGAATGGTCGCTGCCTAGGCTCTCGCCGGTGTTGGTCTAGTCGGCTGCAGTGATTTTGAGTAGTGTGAGGTCGGGGCACGTGTCCCTATTTACGCCATACCTCGTGCGCGTCGGGTGTTCCGAGTCGGTCAGGAGGGTGAAGTGATGTTGGCAAATTGCCTCATGCCACTTAACGGCTTCTGCAGTCGCCTGTCTGTACCCCCACGACGAGTGCGCGGCGTTGAAATCGCCTACTGCTAGAAGGTTCTGGTTGGCTAGGTGCAGCGCACGCGCGAGGAGGCACTCAAATACGTCTTTTGTGCAGCTGGGCAGACTATATATATTAAGAATGAAGAAGCTAGGTGCATTTCACTTCTTGGTGAGGAGTTCCACGATTGCGTGCTCCACCGTGGAGCTGTCAAACTCGTGCTGCTTCACTGTGATGCGCTTCATGACTAGCTTGGCTATTCTTGAGTTTGCGTGCGAGTGCGTGAGTGTCTGATAACCCAAAAGCGAGGGGAGGTCCCTGCTGATTTCCTGTAGGCACATCACGTCGGGGGGATATTCCCAGCTTGCAATGAACTGCGCAAGAGCACCGTGTTAACCACAAAACCTGCGGCAGTTCCACTGCCAGACTAGTGTGCCTCGATTGCGTCCTGCCATCGTTAACGGCGTGGGCTGGGGCGGCGGGGTAGAGGCCTGGAGCAGCTGGCTGAATGTAGGACGGCGGCTGCTGCGGCGCATTCGGGATTACGCATGGCTGAGGAC